CAAGCCAAACAACATCTTTCAACGGAGATCACATCAAAAGATAGAAAGAGCCTTTCTCGACAAAAAAATCAGCCATAAATGAAAGAAGAAGTAGAATAACTTTGGAGAAAGAGTGATATTAAGTAGAAAACATCTTACAATAAAGGCAACTATATAAGCAACAGCTTAAGGAGCCAACTAAGGTAGACTAATAGAAAACTCATCACAAATTTCAATAATAAAAGGATGAAGGGGAAAGCATAAACCATAGGCAAATTGATCTTTATACACACACATGTCAGGGGGGAGACACTGGAAAGCCACACGACGCATAGGATATTGGGGGGCAAAAACCTGTGGATCCATTGAATTCCTCTAATAAATCTCCATTATTTCATCAATATCACAACTGCTAGTGACTCAAGACACCTTATTAGAACCACAAAAAACCTCGAGTGAGCCCAACAGAGAACCAGAGTGACCAAATCTATCATCATGCGCAGACCAAATCGCAGGATCTCGGTGGAAACAAGAGGAGTCACATAGGTTTTTTATCACATCAAGTTTTTACTAGCTAATACTTTTAATGTGTGAGATTTTTTGTCACATAGGTTCAAAATCCCTGAAACACAAAAAGCAGAAAAAACTTGTGTAGATTTGGAACCAAGTACAACAACACTTTATGAAGAGAAGTAAGGACTATTAGACTTGTATTGACAATAAAAAGAAGAAGAATGAAACAAGTTTTGTTACCCTCAAACTTTTTTTTTGTTTGGGGCAAATGTTAGACCCAAAATTGAGTCCTATAAGAATTAGGATGCATGAAGACATCTTAAAAGTGTTCTATCAAGATTAAATAGGTTAAATCCCACTAGAACTAACATACCTAACACACAAACCCAAGTAGAATTGTAATCCTATGATGATTAAATGTAATATCCTATAAATATCCCAATGTTAGACCTAAGAAGGGGATTATTTTTTCATTCTCTCTCTATTGTAAACTCTCTCCATTCTTGATCAATAAAGTACTTGGCTCCACACCATCTTTTCTATTTTTAGTGTTAACACTATACATTTGAAGATTGTTGCGACATTGCTTGGATGAAACCGCTATACGAAACACAGCAAATAGTTACTTCTTTATGGTATTATTTCTTTTGTAAAATGGATTTTGTTAATCTATAAGTAGGTTCTTGCTCATTCATATCAAATTTAATGTCATTTTACTTT